TCCTACGAGAACCCGTTCATTTACCGACTTATACCACGAAATACGAGGAAATGGGAATACAAATAAACAATAGCCACGGTTTTACGATGTTATTCGGTGGTCGATGAATACGGATCTGCATATGAATTACCCATCGTCCTACATCTGGGTATGCATTTATTTCTATTGAGTGGTATTTAATGTAATGCGTGATGTAATGCAATGATCTGATTGGTCGACAGCCTGACTACACATACCCATGTGGATCAGTCTGTAATTTGTGCGGCAAAACACGAGCTTGTAATTCATTCCCACTCTGGCATTACTTCATCATAGACACCTATATTGAAAGTTTCTGTTCTCAGTTTGAGATCGAAACGCAACTGGACGATAAAGACGATTTCATGCTAATAAAGAAACAAGAGCGTGATAGAGTTGCACTTCCGGTTGGTAAGGAACAATTGACTGCAATACACGAATCGCGCATTCCTGCAAACACATGCAAGTCAACCAACTGGGGCGTCTCTGTTTGGGATGCATGGGACGTGGCAGAAATGAGCGACAGGCAGCACCATACACTGACGTTGATTAAGAAAAGTTGTGGCAGTAAGTATTTTCCCTCGATACAGCAATTAGTTTCAGCCATGTTGCCTATTTCTATATGTGTAAAATGTTTGCACTTAAAGAGCAGTCGATGAACATTCGAATCACACAGTTGAACAGTTTGTTAAAGGGACGGACAAGGATGAGGAATATATCGAGTTTTGTGGCCAGCCGTGTAAGAACAATCAAGGTGGGCTATACAATGCAAGACAAGTGCCTTACAAAAACGTTCGACAGTATAGTAATCCAACAAATCCGTGTTGTGTGATAAACTACTGACGAAGTACTTGAATTGTCTACCCCATCTGGTCCATTTTACCTACGCCCCTGTGTCAGCGACATTGAACTATTCTAAGCAAAAGATCGGGATTAATACTCTACGTCAATATTCGTAGAGAATGTGTAATCTGGCAGGCATAACAGGATACCACACATGTTAGTATGCGTCACAATTGCAATCACGTTCATTAGTAAGTTAATAATACACGCTTGTTCGTCCTTTTTGTTGTAAGAGGAAATAGAATATTAAGTTTTGGTAATTATGCACGTGAATTGCGAGCTTGACTCCTTTGTTATTTGTTAATGTATAACTGATTAAATGTTATGTTATTTCGAGGTTACAGCAGCCACTTCTCTATACGCGAAAGGCTTCGATGAGTAACTTGTCAAAGAACGCACCGGGCACCGCTCTGATGATGGTCTGCGCACATAAAAGCGAACCAGCACTTCACTGCAGAAATCAGTGTCTGATGCTCTGCAGCCGCCAAATCCAGTGTTGAACTTGGCATCAAGGACCAAAAACAACGCGTATCATCACCTCATCGTACGCAACCAATACCACCATTCAAAGTGAATGGCGATAAAAAAGTAAATATTGTGTTGTAATTTTGTACTGATGAATTCATTAAAAGCAGGTGCTTTAAAGTAGTGTTACGTATCG